GTTGGCAAATGCCAATCGAGCCTTTTGTATGCGCGCCAACACTTCATCTGTGATGCGTCCCCCAGGTGAGATATAGCTGCCCAGATCGTAAAATTTGTCTACTTGCTCTATTACTTCCCCATAGGGTGAGACTGGGTACTGGATAACCCAATATTGTAGTAGCATTTTACACTTTGAAGGTGCAAAACGCATACCGAACATGGCTACATTCTTGTAGTAGCATTTTACACTTTGAAGGTGCAAAACGCATACCGAACATGGCAACACTGTTATTGGATATGCTATTATAACAAGCAAACCGTGTATCACAAACCACAGTCATTCGTAAAGATTGTTGCGTATGAATTCTGGGAGACTGGAAGAGACCTGTGATTACCATACCATGATTTGACCCCCGGGCTTTTAAGATCTACCTTTCCATTGATTTACAAACTACGAGTTTATTGGTACCCGCTTGCTGGTGTTAAATGAATGTATGATGTGTGTATGTATCGTGCACGTTTGACCCCATCAAGAGGGCGTATAATCTAGACACTGGCTCCCAATGACTTTTGTTTTTAATATCGCATCGCGTGTTAGGCTTTGACTAGCCGAAAGCTCCGATCGTACACCCCCATGAAAGTTAATCTGATTTGGCTAGGGCGACCTTGCATTACTCTGCCCGTGAGCAAATCATGGACTGATTTCTTTTGTATAATGATTGTACCGTGATTTGTATGCTACAATCTGACATAATCAGACCCGTAAAATATAAAACTAGGTCACACCCAATGCATTTTATTGACTCACAACCGATACCTTCGGTTGCCCCCCAAGCCTAATCCATTGAGAACCGGTGTCTGATTTATCTAATCGTACATCCTTGGAGTGGAATTAAGCATCCACGGTTCACAATACAGCTCGGTGCTCAAACAAACTGGCGACCACTTCCACACCCTGGAAGGTGTCGGTGTAGTTCCTACACATATTCTTGGTTCGTTTGAAATCCGGGTGTTTTGCAAACTCCGATATGAGGAATGTTTACCAACTGTAAGTGCTATTACTGTACTCAGTTTCAGTTTTTACAGCCAGTAACCATGCGCTATGCGATACTATACTCACAAACGACGAACTCCAGAGGTTTTGACCAAACACGTAGGCACGAAGAACTCGTCGAGCAGCAATGTGAACATCACGTCCTATTCGACCAAACCAAATTCGGGGACAAGACCACCTGAAGGAGACGCTCGAGGATAAACCCGTTCACAATCCAAGCTGCAGTAATAATGGGACGAAGAAATATGCAGTCTCATTGTACATAGCTCTTTCTCGCCAGGGAGGAATAATGAAATGGCCCATTAATTTGGGTCGTATGTGGTACACATTCACGTGAAACTCTGTGGTTATTTGTAATATGTCATCACCGAATCGTTATCAGTTGAATGTTGAACCTGTGAAATATATGCCATCATTATGAAGCGACTGCAACTTGACGTGGTCTGATCGCTTGTGCACTTCTATGACCCGATGAACTACATAGGTTTATAACGAACTAAATTACTTGTTCGAAACCAGCAACGGTGTCACCATGGATTTTCTATTTCGCCATTCCTTCAACTTCGTCCTAGACGAAATACTGATCAACTACACTAAGAACTTTTGGTCAAAGACCCTGATCCACAAGGCAACGGTGCGGAGCAGGGAGTCCACAATTCTCTGCTAGTCGGTGACTATCAGACCAGTTTATATACCTTTGACCAACTATCCAGGGTGCCCAGATTGTCCTTAAGTCACGCGCATTTCCGGTGATCGTCATGGTGAATGACACCAAAAGTGGGCTTTCAGTCTTTTTCAGGGATTGGTATCGTTATGGGCTTCTCACGCCAACTGTGGGTGGTTCGGAATCGGAGTTTTAGCCAACTCCCTTAGACTGACTACCAACAGTCAGTCAACTCAGTGGATATCGCCGGGTATTCGCCTTTACCCTGACACTTTTGTGTTAACATCACCACGTGAAGGCAGCAAAAGCTGTTTGAGAACATTTCCAGACGGGTTCTGTACGACTGGCTATTTCGGCGTCTGGGACACCCATTCCTGATCATACTGAGGTATTTGGAAGTAGGGATAGATTTGCTAGCTTATCAAGTTTATCTTGTTAAACTTCGCTGTATTGCGCATTCCCAGCGGTCGTCTTGCGCATCGCACTCTATTCGTTGTAGCCGGGTTGGAGGAAACTACGTGGAGGTCAACAGGTGAAACATACAGAAGTTCACTGAGCTAACAGGTTCAGAAGGTGTTTCTCGTCTTTCAGAATGAGATCTAAAGACTCCGTGACTAGTTGATTGGAGACATTAAAGGATAAGGCAGCGAACCGATGGCAATGGTGCTCTTGTTGTCACCTCTCATCTGGACAGAATGATTCAAAGTGTGTAATCACAGTTGGGTTGTGTACTGTGTTTATCATAATGCTTCATTTTCTTTTACTCTTCCTCAAAACACGTCCGATTCCTGCCCATCTTACACATTCTCACTTTGTATACGTTGCGAGCGTGGTAGTGGTCAATGCAGTTCGTCTCGGTGTATATAATAAAAAAAAATGAATATCTATTTTAGAATTGCAGTTTTTGTCTATCATCTGTTTAACTCTATCATGTGATTCATTTTTGCGAACGCACAGTTTATAGTCGATTGGTTTCCGGCGTTTTGTATCTCAGCTTAATCGGAAATCACATCTATCCTGTCGCATTTCGGCGTTCCAGGTTTTAGTTGTTTTTCTTGAATAACAGTTTATTCTTGTTCATAATGCTTGGCTATTCAATCAAAGATTCCTGGTTTTTAATTCACTCAAACACCAGAGTTAAGCTTTCAATCATGCATATAGTAAAGTTTTACTTTACTTTACTTTACTTTACTTGAATTACCATACCCTAGACCATCATTCAACCACAATCCATCGATTTTGACTTCTTAGCTCTTCATCTAAACCTCCGGTTGTTGGCAATTGTGATGGAGAGTATGAACTGGTGGCCCGAAAGACTCAATTAGAATGGCGGCTCCCTGTGATCGACACAGACAACCCATCCGGATCAATCGAATTCACAATCAGCGCTGATCGAGGTTCCAAAGCCGATGACTTTTTCCCACTCAAATTGAGCCTGAGCGCTGACAAATCGTTTTGTGGTATTCGGGTGAGTTTGCAATTCCAAAGTATCATTGTCTCGGTAGTCTGTCTTCCGTCAGCATCTTACGATCGTACTCAATGCGTGTATCCATTTTCTTTAAACTGGAACAAAACTGTTGGATGCATCATCACATTCTAACATGGGCATGTCGAATCTAATTGATCTTCATACAAATCATTCTGGTCCTTACTTTTTATTCATTCATTCACTCATCCACTCTTTGTTGGCTGATCTCTTTACAGGTTTTGGAAGCTGTGGATCCGAAAAACAAACCAGTCACATTCTCCACAGAGACTCGATTGTATGCTGAGAAGTACGAAATTGTTTGATCGGCTGTGTACCGAGGCGATAATGTCTGTTTGCTAGCTGGACACGTACTCGGGATTCTTCTCTCACCTCCTCTTTCTTATTGTAACTCTACTTGCTGTCTGTTTTTGCTGCTCTTTTTCCCACGCTCTCTCTCTCCATATGTTTCTGCCTCGAGCAGCTGACTTGTCGCCTCCCACCGAAATGATTATCTATTTTGGTGGCACCACTATTCTTGTCCATCTCTTTCCTGTTCGGTCAGGGATGGCGTGCAAGCGGATGATGGTGATATATACTTCCATTTGTGATTTTTCAAGAAAGCAAAATGAAGTTGGAAGTTTTCTACCAACCTCGGTCCAACCGTATGGTCGGGGATATATAAATATATTTCACACTTATGTGAGGACAGACTGTGTGCCAAACAATCATGGTACAATAATCTTTATGAGAATGAAAAACGTTCCATGATTTGCATGTGAGCTGAATACTGTCAGGTTGCCCAGGCCAAGGCAGATGAATTTTCTTGAGGAATCCACAACCGGAGCCGTCGGCTAACCAAAGCCTGACCCACAAGGCAGTGGGGCTGTGTAAAAACCACAATCCATTGGGAGCCAGTGTTCCGTTTATCGGATCATACGCCCTCCGGATGGGGTCAAACGTCCGAGGTGCCCAATACACCTCAGTGCCGAATCGAGCCGGTGTCCACTGCCGCAGGCAGGAAGTTGTGTGTGTGGTTTGTACGCCTCTTGGTTGGTTTGGAATCAGGGTTTTTGACCAACTCCCCTAGTTGAACTAGCAGTGGTCCACCAACCCGGTTATAGCCCCGGATGTCGGCTTTTCGTCCTCTCATTTTGTTGGGTAAACACCTCTGCCACGAGAAGGCAGTGAGTAGGGCATCCTCAGCAGAGGCTATTCGAGACGCTTGGTCGTATGGGTGCATTTCGAGAGGTGCAAGGAAGGGTGACCAGCCGTAATCTTATACACTCATCCCCGACCATACTGAGGCTTTCGGAGGCATCGTTTATTTTAGCCACCTATCTTTGGTACTCGACAGTTGTGCAGTCTTCTGGGTTGATAATACATTTCTTGTTGGTGCCTAATATGGTTCACCAATTCATGTTTCAGGGTTGAGGCTACGGGCTTCTGTAACAAAACCATAGGTCTCTGTGACCGTGAGGTTCGTTATATCTGTTCACTGCACAATGGTGCTTAATAAAAAATATCGATCTCGTAAGAATCATTCCGTGAATACGGTAGGAATTTGATAAGTACCCTGGTTATTTTCCATTTGAAGTTATTTGTTTTTGTCTTATTTTTATTACGTACATTTGTGTGGTGAACAGCAGACGGGGCGAACCATATAGTCACGAAGACCTGCTGCTCCGTCATGGAAACCGGTAACCCAAGCCCCGGGACTTGGAGTGGCAAACCATATAAGGCCCCGCTAGGTTAGATGTGGTACTGAACCGTACGACAGCAAAGCTTCGCACCACCTGAGTTGGGTGGTGGTAGCGGGGCTCGGACCATAGGGCGCCAGTGAAAGCAGCTCAACAACTGCGCCATCACCACCCTCGTTTAATATTCAACCATATGATCGATCTTTTATTATCGATGTTCTCTGAACCGTTCATCCTCATTCATAATCAACCTAATCGTTTTCATTTTCATTGTTTTTAGGTTGGTACCATGCTTAATCGTTTATTTTCAACTTCTATTTGATAAAGTAATATTTTTTCTTTGATAGACGGCAAGTCTTCACTGGGCTCACAGAAAAATCATTTATTTTCCTTTTTTTATGATTTGATTTTACTATCAGTCCAAAGAGCGTGAAGCCAAAGACTTCATGAAGCAACGGGCCCGTGACCTGCAACTAGCTCGTCAGGAAGCAGCCAAACGTGGTGCCGGCTCAGGGGGTGGCTCGTCGAGGTCTTACCGAGGCGGTGTTTCCGGTTTCGGAAGTGACACTCCAAAGCCAGGTGTGTATGTGTGTGTGCGTGTCTTTAGCGTACATGACATTGATCAATCAATCAAGTTTTGATGACATTGAAAATGATATTTACGGTTTCTTGGTTATTGAGTTATTTATCTACTTCACATCACAGTTATTCAAGTTTATCACAAGAAAAATTATGTAGATATCTCTGTCTTCGAATCATGTTGCATTTCCTGATTCTGATCTACTGCTCAATGTTGACTAACTTGATTTGATTTCACGCAATTCCCACTGATCCCAAATAAGGTTCGCGAACAGTGGTTACTTTTTCCTTTGTATCTGNNNAAAACGCTCTTCCTAGGGATGCTTCGTGGTTGAAAAAAATAATTGTGAAGAATTTTGTGCAGCATCACGGTCTACAAAAAACATTTGATAACACTCCCTTCGCGACTGATCTGTACACGGGAGTTACAACTCTGTATGCCGGCCAGATGGTTAAGATAAATAAATCAGTTAACGTTTCGGCATTATTTTCCATGAATACTCTCCCCTCTGTCACAGATGAGCCTCGTGTCGTTGTGGTAAACGATCGCTTCGGGGAAGGCGGCCTTGATGGTGCCTCCTATATAAGTACTGCCGCGAATGCAATGCCTTCGGTCAAACGAAGTGGTATGAAGCTTGGCGGGGGCGGTGCCGGTGCGGGTGGAGGGATTGATCAATTTGTCGATCAGTTAAAAGCGGAAGGTGAGGCAGTGCATGATGACGTGGCTCGACTATTGGATCCGAATACGGACGGGATCTCACAGTCCGGTGATTATGCCAGACGTGCTGTCGGTAGTCTTGAACCGAGAACTGTCCTCAAAGAAGAGTAGGTTTTTAGTTATGCTTTTTTGTTCACTATTGACCGCATTGACATTTTTCAGCTGTTGTACTACCTACCATGGAATGCAGATTAAGGCACATACAGGGCCGTCTACTGTTCCCGTTCGAACTACTACCGAACCAGTATACTACACACCAAAGAAATGACGCCTCTTTGTTTCTTTTCCTTACCTCTGCTCGGTCGTATTCTACGGGAGTTGGTCATGTTGAACCAGATGCTATCCCTCACCACTCCGCATATATGTAGGTAGTCTGGTCAAGCAATCGCTTTGTACTCGTCGATATTATTTCCCTTTTTACCCGTACCTATCTCTCTCCTGCTAGAGGATCAGTCGGATGCATGGATATTGTCCATTGAGTTTTGTAGGAACCGGATGTAGATCGTTGTTCTCGTTCTACGTTCGCTGTTATTCATTTATTTTTGCTTCAGCTTATCACTTATTCCGCTGTTCTATATTTTTCTTCGTTTCGTTTTCCTAATATTTTTTTTTTTGGTTTTCGAGGTACATTCATGCATTCTTTTCTTCACCTTTCGGATCCGATGAAACTGTGAAACTGTTTTGAATAATTTATCCGGTTACTTGACCTTTCAAAAGTTTATCTCACTTGTTATTGAACCCGCGCCAAAACGTTCTTCTGTTTGAATTGGTCTAGAGCTCAGCTAGATAGATAGCTTCCTTGCTTCCTGTTAAACTCTTCTTTCCCAGCTAATCCACACTACAAATGAACTCTTTCCAGCCGGGCTAATCATACCATCGCTTGCATGCCCATTCATCATCATTCTATACACGATTAGTCCACGTTTGTTCACCACTTAAATCTACTTAGTCCCACACGTTGAAATTGTCATTTTCTCAATTCTTACTACCTGTCCCCATACAGTCTTCACATCCGAATAGAGGAGAAGTTGATGGTACAAGCCAGTCGTGATGGTGGCTTGGAACAGCTCGAGGTACAGGGGATCATGCATGCTCTTGCCAACACGGCCGCCACAAATGAGGCTCGACTTCGGATCGATACCAATGAGGCACTGAATCCTCACAATGAAAAGCAACCGCCAGCCCAGTTGCAAACACATCCTAACCTGGATAAGAAGGCGTTTGTGGTGAGTTTGATCGCACCTCTTTTGCGGTCTCCATTGGACTACAAAAATAAACGTCCGGTTCTGCACAGAATTAGCTCTGAGATCAACCAAAAAATAGGCGAGGTTTAGTGAGGAGCTACTGGATATCATTG